TATCTAATAGTGATTTTGATTTGTATTTATCTAACAGTTGGCAAAGTTGAGATCTTTTCATGTTCCTATTGTCACATGTATGTCATTTTTTGGAATATGTCTATTCAGATCTTTTCTAACTAGATTGCATTTTTCTATTGAGTTGCAGTATTTCCTGATATATTTTGAGTATTAATTCATTATCAGATATAAGGTTTAAAAACATTTTCTTCTATTGTCAGTTGACTCCTCATTTAGTTGATTGTTTCTTTTGCTGTGCATAATGCAGCTGATTTTGTAGGTTGACTTTGTGTACAAAACTTAATTTGTTTACTATTTCTAACAGTTCTTTTTGGTGGAGTATTTAGGTATTTATATATATAAGATGATATCCTCTTCAATCAGAGATAACTTTATTCCTTCCTTTTGGTTTCAGATAGTTTTTAATTCTTTTTCTTGTCCAGTTGGCCTAGCTAGGACTTGTAGTGCTATGCTGAAGTAGAGTGGTGGGAGTAGTAACCTTGTTTTATTCTTCATCTTAGAGAGAGAATTTTGAACATTTTGCTGTTGAGTATGATGTTAACTATGACTTTTCATATATGGTCTTTGTTATTTTGAGGTATAATCCGTCTATATAGAATTTATTGAGACTTTGTATCATGACAGGAAGCTAAATTTGCCAGGTTTTTTTTCTGCATCTATTAAGCTTATCATGTTTGTTTTATCTTTTAGCTTTTATTTTGTCTCTTAGTTGTTTCAATGTAGTGTATCTTTTTTTGATAATGTATATATCTTTATTAATTAGGGATATTAGCTTGTCATTTTGTTTTCTTGTAGTATCTTTATCTGGCTTTGGTATAAGGGTAATGCTGGCCTTGTAAAATAAATTTGGGAGTGTTTCCTCCACTTAAATCATTTAGTAGAATTTGAGAACTGGTGTTAATTGTTCTTTAAATTTTTCATAGAATTCACCAGTGAAGTCATTGGGTCCTTAATTTTTTGTTGTTGTTGAGAAGTTTAGGTCACTAATTCATTTTCCTTACTCTTTATTTGTTGGTTCAGATACTTCATTTCTTCACAATTTAGTCTGCATACAAAGCACTTCTACAGCAAACCTGCCCAAAGATACTGTGTGGGCTCTCTGGTGGTGTCCAAAGGTGAAGGTGCTTCTGGAGTCCTCGAGAGGGCAGGCTTGGAGCTTGAATAAGTGGTTGGCCTGGTTCTTGGTTCCCTGGGATCTGGTACAGTGTCTGAACCACAAGGAGCAGGGTCTGGATCTTGGAATCACTGAGGCACCTGGGTCTGTGGTGACGAACATACCATGTAGTTCTGTGTGGCGGGCATGGATTCTTGGTACAGGTTGTGTCATCCAGGTGCCAGGGACTCATGTGAAGGGTTTGACATCTCAGTAGGGAGAGGCTGGCCTTGTCCTGGTGAAGGCAAGCGCTTTAGTTCAAGGGAGTTTGCCTAAGGCTAGGGAGCTATATGCTGTGTTGGTGCCATGCCAAGTCTGAAAGTTAGATCTCAGGGGCAAGGCTACTTGGTTGGGCCACAAGCCTGTGTCTTCAGGAGCCTGCATGGACTGTGTCTGCAGGAGCCTGTGTGGATACTGAGACCATGTGCTCCAGCTGGGTGTTGGGGTGAGCCAGGAGCTTGTGAGTGCAGTGATTTGTCTGAGATCTAGACTTTGGGGAGTTAACCTGGCACTAGGATGTGCCTGAAATGAGTCTGAGTTGAATTCAGGTGCTCACTTCACTCTTCTTTTCCCACTTGGAGGTTTCTCTCTCCATACTGAGATGCCTAGACTTGAGGTATGTGTGACAGCAGTAACGTGACATTGTCCTTCCTACCTTATTCAATGCATCTTTTAAAAATTATTTTGCTTCATCAAAGTGCTGTAATGTCTCACTTGGAATCCTTTGCTCCTGTGAAGGTATTTTGGTGGATAGTTCTTATTTGATGTTTCTTAGAGGGGACAGACATGGAAATTTCCATACTGCCATCTTATTAATCCCTCTACTTCCTCTATTGCTTGTTCATTTTTAATACATTCAATTTATTACCTGTTATGGTCCCAATAAAATAGTTAAAAAAAGAAAATCTCTAATGATGCATGACTCAGGGTCAGACCTAGAGTACAGGTAGCTGAGTCACCCTGAATAAATGTGGGTGATATGTCTTCTAACTGGGAAGAAAGGAAAGCATTATAATGACTATAGGAGCAGTGGAATAAATTAAGGCAATTTACATTTGATAAACTCATTTTCTTCTGTAAACTATATTAGCCTAGATATAGAAAAGACCCTGATGCTTGGAAAGATTGAAAGCAGGAGAAGGGGATGACAGAGGATGAGATGGTTGGATGGTATCACTGACTGAATGGACATGAGTTTGAGCAAGCTCCAGGAGTTTGTGGGCTTCCCTGATAGCTCAGTTGGTAAAGAATCTGCTTACAATGCAGGAGACTCAGGTTAGATTCCCACACGAGTATTCTTGGGCTTCCCTGCTGGCTCAGCTGGTAAAGAATCCGCCTGCAATGAGGGAGACCAGGCTTTGATGCCTGGGTTGGGAAGATCGCCCAGAGAAGGGAAAGGCTACCCACTCCAATATTCTGGTCTGGAAAATTCCATGATTTCAAAGTCCATGGGTTGCAAAGAGTCAGACACGACTGAACAACTTTCACTTTCACTTCACTTTTACTTCTAGGAGTTTGTAATGGACAGGGAAGCCTAGCGTTCTGCAGTTCATGGGGTTGAAAGAGTCAGACACGACTGAATGACTGAACTGAAATGAGGAATGAATGAACAGTTTACAATTTAGTTTAAAATACAAAAGCACTACAGCCAACTACTGGATCATGGATGAGCCTTAGAAACATATAGAGAGACTGACAGCTAATTACAGACTCATGAGAAACCTAGTAGAACTTGAAACAACTCCAAAACATACCATCTCATTTGATAATAAATGCATTATATTTTTCCATTTTATTGTAGGTTAACTGGTTATGAAGCTTGCTAGCAAATGTAATAATCAAAGTGAATGATACTGAGGGCAAAGCTAATAATCTACTGCTTCTTATTTTTCACCATGTTTTTTTTTCACACATGTTCTGAGATTTGAAGAAAGCATTTCTGATTACTCTGTTATCCAAGTTGTTTTTTCCCACACAAGTATAGTAAAAAGTGACTTCATTGATGTTCCTTTCCTAATATTCAGGCAAGTTTGCAAGGACATATGTGTTTGTGTACACAAATTGCCGAACCTGAATCTTAGGTCTAAGCAGGAAGTCATGTTCTTATGAATCCGTTTTGATCTTGCAAATTGAAGAAATTCACTTGTATATGGGAGATATATAGTGGATGATGTTGTCCATTCACTGCTCTTTTTGTTTATGACAACATTTAGAATTGATGAGATGTTTCATTAAGACCAATGGAAAAAGTCATAGTTATAGGCTCACCTTGAGTTTTCAGGTAGGAAGAGTAAGATAATTCAATAATAAAACATAAAGCAGATTAATCAATCCTTCATTTCAGTGAGTAGGTCCCCTTATACATTGACACTAGTATTCCAGACTGCAATGAGTAAATGCACAGCTTGAAAAAATATGTCATAAATAATAATACAAAGTATATTTTAAAAGTTACTTTATTATATCCAAGATCATTTCTGACTCAAAGGTGATATTAAGTAAATTTGTGTTTAAGTCAATTTGTGTTGCAATTTGTGTTTCTGTGTAGACTACACTGGCAGATGTATATGCAATAATCAGCTTTGCCAGTGACTATGGTAGGTAATGTGGACATAGAGGCTGATAAGAAAACAAAATCCTAATTAGGAAAATAAATCCAATGACCTGTTGTAAAACACACTTGTATTTTAAAGTCTACAATATCAGGAATACCAGTTAAGGATCTGATATACAAGGAATGTTGGACACAGGAGTGAAAAGCTATGATCTCAGATTTTCCTCTCCTATAATCTTACAAAGATGGCTTAGCTTCCATGTCTGTCATGTTTTTCCTTTGCAGTGATATCTGATGATTCCTTTTTTAGTAAAACTAAAGACACATTACATGGGGTGATATTAGTCATTTGATAAGACATTGTTTTTAGTAAATCCAAGTAGTTGCATGAGTAAATGGGCATTTGGGAATGTCCAATTTTTAATATCAAAGTTTGGGAATATTTTAGAAAGAAAGAGGGGAAAGCTGTTGAATATCTGAGAGAGAAGATAGCTTAATAAAATGAGTAACTAAATTACATAGAATAGCTGAAAAAATGAAAATTCCAGAAAATTAATAAAAGGAAGTTCTATTTTCACAATCTGGTTAAAGAATCACAACTACTGACTGAAGCTTTGATACCTTAAGCCATGGACACCTCTCCAAACCCAGAATAATTGGCCTTTTAAGACTTTCCATCACAAAGAATCTCTCCATAGCCCCCTTTATGTCTTTGTTCCTCAGACTATAGATGAAGGGGTTCAGCATGGGTGTGACTGCAGTGTACATCACGGAGGCTGTTGCACTTGACTGTGAGCCGTGGGTAGCAGCAGAGCTAAGGTACACTCCTAGGCTTGTACAAAAAAATAAGGAGACAATTAAGAGGTGAGATGCACATGTAGTAAATGCTTTATACTTCCCTTGAGATGATGAGATTCTATGTATAGAGGAAACTATCTTAGAGTAAGAGTAAATGATACCAGCCAGGGGACCACCACCCCACAGGACACTTGCAAAATACATCACCATGTTATTAAGAAATGTGTCAGAACAGGCAAGTTGGATCATTTGACTGAGGTCACAAAAAAAGTGGGGGACTTTCACATCTGTGCAAAAGGAAAGCTTCAACAACATTAAACTTTGTAACAAGGAATTCAATATACACACTATCCAGGACACCGCAACCAGCAGTACACAGAGCCGGGGGTTCATAATGACTGTGTAATACAGGGGGTGGCAGATGGCCACAAACCGGTCATAGGCCATTACAGTCAAGAGAAAGATGTCCAATACTGCAGAGAGTATGAAAAAATAAATTTGTGTGATGCAACCTTCATAGGTTATAACTTTGCTTTGAGTTTTGATGTTCCACAGCATCTTTGGGATGGTGGTGGAGGTGAAGCAGATGTCTACAAAAGACAGGTTGGAGAGGAAGAAGTACATGGGGGTGTGGAGGTGGGAGTCTGAGCTGACGAGCAGGATGATGAGCAGGTTTCCAAACACAGTGATCAGGTACATGGAGAGGAAAAGCCCAAATATGAGGGGCTGCAGTTCTGGTTCCTCTGAAAATCCCAGAAGGAGAAATTCTGAAATTTTTGTATCATTACGTGGTTCCATGTGGTTGAAGCAACTTCTAGGAAAGAAGGAAACAATATTACTAATATTCACACAAACTTGTATTACATAAATTACGTGTATCTATACAAAAAAAGATCTTCATGAACCAGATAACCACGATGGTGTGATCACTCACCTAGAGCCAGACATTCTGGAATGCAAAGTCAAGTGGGCTTTAGGAAGCATCACTACGAATAAAGCTAGTGGAGGTGATGGAATTTTAGTTGAGCTATTTCAAATCCTAAAAGATAATGCTGTGAAAGTGCTGCACTCAATATCCTAGCAAACTTGGAAAACTCAGCAGTGGCCACAGGACTGGAAAAGGTCAGTTTTCATTCCAATCCAAAAGAAATGAAATGCCAAAGAATGTTCAAACTACCACAAAATTGCACTCATCTCACATGCTAGTAAAGTAATGCTCAAAATTCTCAAGCCAGGCTTCAATAGTATGTGAACCATGAACTTCCAGATGTTCAAGCTGGATTTAGAAAGGGCAGAGGAACCAGAGATCAAGTTGCCAACATCCGTTGGATCATAGAAAAAGTAAGAGAATTACAGAAAAACATCTATTTCTGCTTTATTGACTATACCAAAGCCTTTGACTGTGGATCACAGCAAACTGTGGAAAATTCTTAAAGAGATGGGAATACCAGACCACCTGACCTGCCTCCTGAGAAATCTGTATGCAGGTCAAGAAGCAACAGTTAGAACTGGACATGGAACAACAGACTGGTTCCAAATAAGAAAAGGAGTATGTCAAGGCTGTATATTGTCACCCTGCTTATTTAAATTCTATGCAGAGTACATCATGTGAAATGCCAGGCTGGAAGAGGCACAAGCTAGAATCAAGATTGCTGGGAGAAATATCAATAACCTCAGATATGCAGATGACACCACCCTCATGGCAGAAAGTGAAGAGGAACTAAAGAGCCTCTTGATGAAAGTGAAAGAGGAGAGTGGGAAAAGTTGGTCTAAAACCCAATATTCAAAACTAAGATCATAGCATCAGTCCCATCACTTCATGGAAATAGGTGGGGGAACAATGGAAACAGTGACAAACTTAATTTTGGGGGCTCCAAAATCACTGCAGATGGTGATTGAAGCCATGAAATTAAAAGACACTTGCTCCCTGAAAGAAAAGTTATGGCCAACCTAGACATCATATTAAAAAGCAGAGACATTACTTTGCCAACAAAGGTCCATCTAGTCAAAGCTGTGATTCTTTCAGTAGTCATGTATGGATTTGAGAATTGGACTATAAAGAAAGCTGAGCACCAAAGTATTGATGCTTTTGAACTGTGGTGTTGGAGAAGACTCTTGAGAGTCCCTTGGACTGCAAGGAGATCCAATCAGTCCATCCTGAAGGAAATCAGTCCTGAATATTCATTGGAAGAACTGATGCTGAAGCTGAAACTCTGATACTTTGGCCACATCATGCGAAGAGCTGACTCATTAGAAAAGACTCTGATGTTGGGAAAGATTGAAGGCCAGAGGAGAAGGGACTGACAGAGGATGAGACGGTTGGATGGCATCACCAACTCAATGGACATGAGTTTGAGTAAGCTCCGGGAATTGGTGATGGACAGGGAGGCCTGGCGTGCTGCAGCCTATGGGGTCACTAAGTGTCAGACACAACTGAGCAACTGAACTGACTGACTGACAGTATTTCATTCACAATTAAAATGCTACAGTTGTTTTGTAGTCACGAAAATTGTTTTAATATTTTGCATATGGATCTGCTTTTTTTATCGCATTTTCTCTGCCACCTTGGACATTGACTTTTTGTTCCTCCATTTCACCCCTAAGAGGTCATGTATTCTGTAGTTTTAATGAGAAATTCTTCATGCATTTCAGGGATGTAAACTAAGGTCTGACCATGTTTAACTTATTGTCTAGGCAATAGCTTAGTGTGCTGAAAGGCAAAAATCCCTACATTTCAATGATGGAGAAAAATGGACAAAAAGTGTTTAAACAAATGATAAAGTTGTGTGTGTGCTCAGTTCTGTCTGACTCTTTGCGACCACATGGACTGTAGCCCATTAGGCTCCTCTGTCCTTGGAATTCTCCAGGCAAGAATACTGGAGTGCATTGCCATGCCTTTCTTCAAGGGATTTTCCCAACTCAGGAATTGAACCCAGGTCTCCTACATTGCAGGCAGATTCTTTACCATTTGAGCTACCTGGGAAGCCTGAGCCACCTGGTAGTGGTAAGCAAATAAGAAAAGTATAAACCGTTTCAGATGGGATAGGTGTTATGAAGAAAGGGAAAGCAGGTGAACATGAGTGAGTGAATAGTACAGTTAATTTTTATGGGTATTTATGCAAGACCTGAAAACAAGATGATATTTGAAAAGTGACTTCAAGTAAGGGAGGGAGGGAGATGAAAATTTATGTGTGTGTGTATGTGTGTGTGCTTGGCAGAGGGAATGCCCAGGACTCAAATAAATAAAATCAGAAATAAGAGATATTATAACTGATACCAGAGAAATACAAAGAATTATAAAAGACCTTTATGAACAATTATATGTGAACGAGCTGGACAATCTAGAGAAAAGTAGATAAATTTTTAGAAAAATATAATTTACCAAAATGAAATCATTATGAAAGGAAAAATCTGAAGAGATCAGTTACTCCTAAGGAGATTGAATCAGTGAGAAATAGATCAATTACTAATAAGGAGATTGAATCAGTGAGAAATAATCTCCCAACAAAAACTTTTCTCAGGAAAAGATGGCTCTATTGGTGAATTCTATCACATATTAAAAAGAATTAATATGAATCTTCACAAAGTATTCAAAAATAGGTGAGGAAAAAACTCTTCTAAACTTACTTGATGAAGCCAACTTTTCCTAATACCAAAACCAGACAAGAGATCCACAAGAAAAGAAAATTACAGATCAATATCCCTGATCAAGATAGATCCAAAAAAACTCAATATAATATTATCAAACTTAATTCAAGAACACATAAAAAGGACCATATATCATAATCAAATGGGACTTATTCCAAGGATGCAAGCATGTTTCAATATCTGAGACTCAATCAATGTGATAAACTATATTAATAAAGTGAAGATTAAAAATCATTATGTTCATATCAATTGATGCAGAAAGAGCATTTGACAAAATTCAACATCCTTTATTATAAAAACTCTTAACAAATTTGGTAAAGAAAGAACAAACCTCAACATAATACAGGCCATATATCATAATCCCACAGCTAATGCCATATTCAATGAAGAAAAACAGAAAGCTTTTCTTTTATGATGATCAAGAACAAGAAGAGCAAGGGTGTCTACTCTCACCACTTAAAAAATTCAGGGTAAGAACTGTTCATTTTTTCTAGTTTCATTGAAAAATAATTGACATGCATCACTGAATAAGTTAAAGGTGCACAACATGAAGGTTTAGTTTACATGTATTGTGAACTGGGATTTCCCTTGTCGTTCAGTGATAAAAAACCCACCTGTCAATAACTTCTCCTATCTGGAAGTTTGTGTCTTTTTTTTCTCATTAATTTTTATTAGTTGGAGGCTAATTACTTTACAATATTGTAGTGGTTTTTGTCATACATTGACATGAATCAGCCATGGAGTTACATGTGTTCCTCTTCCCGATCCCCCCTCCCACCTCCCTCTCCACCCAATCCCTCTGGGTCTTCCCAGTGCACCAGGCCCGAGCACTTGTCTCATGCATCCAACCTGGGCTGGTGATCTGTTTCACCCTAGATAATATACATGTTTCGATGCTGTTCTCTTGAAACATCCCACCCTCGCCTTCTCCCACAGAGTCCAAAAGTCTGTTCTATACACAACCTTTTCAGTTACCCCAGCTTCAACCATCTACTTCTGATATCCAAAAGTCTATTTTCTTTTTCTATGTTTTTCTCAATTTTTTACATTTCCATGTATGAGTAATATCATACAGTATTTGTCTTCTCTGTTTGAATTCTTTCACTTAGTATAATAACTTTATGGTCCATTCATGCTGCCATAAATCATCAAATTTCTTAGTTTTTTATGACTAAGTGGTATTCCACTGTATACATGCATCTCAAGCTCTTTATCCATTCATCCCTCCATAGACACTCAGGTTGTTTTCCATGTCTTGGCTATTGTGAACAATGTTGCCATGAACATAAGGGTGCAGATTTATTTTAAGAGAGTGTTTTTGTTTCCTTAGATATTTTCCCAGGATTAGAGCTACTGGATCATATATTATTTCTACTTTTAATATTTTGAGGGTCCTCCATACTGTTTCCCACAGTATTGTGCTTGTTATAATTTACAGTCTCACTAAAGGTGCACAAGGGTTCCTTTTAATCCATGCACAAGCTAACATTTTTAAAGTATACTTTTTTGAAGGTGACCATTCAAAAAAATGTGAGGTGCTATCTCTGAGTTTTAATTTCCCTAATGACTAGTGATGTTGAACATTTTTTCATGTACTTGTTGGAGTTTCATATATCTTCTTTGGAAAAATGTCTAATCAAGTTCTTTGCCCATTTTAAAATTGAGTTTTGTTTTGTTAAAACACAGAATTTTTTGTTTTTTGACATCATTTAAAAGGCAAAAAACAAAGAAAAAGTACTTTTGTTTACAGTTTCTTATTAAGAACAGATTAAAAAATCCAATGAAATTTGCTCTTCCAACAGAGAAAACCAAATTCTAATATTGCATCAGTTTACTTTTGATATTAAACCTTATGATTATCAACATTTTAAAACTAAGTATACTTTAATCTTAGTCAATTTGAAAAAGCATACACATTCCCCCAAGATTTCCTTTCCAAATTCCTCTATAATTTTGTCCTGGTTTTCCTTTTTCCCATTCTCAAATAACCAGTTTTACTTCATGACAAAATTTTGTCCTATTTTTCCATCAAAAATGTAATTCCATTCCTCATAATGTTTAAAAATTAAATTTATTTATTCATTTTAAAATGAAACAAAGATGAATATTTTTAGTGATAAAAGGTAAAATTCACAAAGAAGATAGACATC